TGGAAAGACCGGAGCCGTATAAATATGCCGGAGTTGACAGACTAAAGGACGAATCTGACGGACCGGCAGAACACGCAGAACCGAACAGTCCCTCAAGCCTCACAGTCTTTTTGCACGGTTGAGTAAAGCCATTGCCTATCAGGACCGCCCCTTGCCTTCTTCTGCCTATTAGCCGGGTTCGAAATACTGGGCTAAAGCAACTGGAGACGCCGAACTAACTGGGCTATAACACAATCCCTATCCGGTCACGCTTTGCGCAGAAGCAAAAACGCATTTGATTCAATCTTGAATATATTAAGGAAAGACCCAAAGGTATAGAAACCGGAAATACATTCCACCCATGAAGCACAAAAAAAGGCATGAAGGTGGGGGCGGGGAATAATAGGCAACGGATTACAAGCCTGCCCCCCCCCCACCTCACCCCCACAAACTGCTGCCAACATGCTTAGGCATCCGGGGAGGGGGAGGGAAGGGGGGAGCGGGGCGACGGAAAGGCACTTGGACGCTTGGGGGCAATAAAGTGCACCAAAGGCAGAACTAATTCACCCGCGGGGGTAGATACGACGAAGCCAGGGCCGAGGGATAAACTTATCCGACTCAAAGTAGTCAAAATACTCGGGCAGAAGGGAGTGTTTTATAGGCAAAGTATCATCGTCCGATGAGCGTGGTTTCTTGCCACCGGCCTTTCCAGTCGAGCTGGCGGCGTTGAGATCCTCCTGGGCCACATAAATTGGATTCAACTCATAGAGGGTGGCTCTTGAGTCTAAGAGGACACGAAAGTTGGGCTGCTCACGTATGCGCTGAAACGTAAAAATCACTTGATCAATAATTACTACTATCGTATATAAAGTAGTGAGTTATGTTTGGGTTAATCTATAAAACCTACAATTTCTTGTTGCAAGTCCGGATACCGCATAGCCATCCAGAGAGCAGGCGCACGCGCGACCTCGTCCCATCCAACCACCACCCCCAGGCAGCCCAGTTTCCGGTGTTGTACTACGTCACCGATTTGGAAGCGAACCTTCGGGGCATGCGTTTTACGAACAGCCTGGCTGGCACCGAAAAAAACATGATCTCGCTCATGTAGTTCTACGATCTCCTGCGGCTCCTCTGGGATGCTTGCAGACTGTCGAGGAGGCCGCTGGTTGGATTCGCCAGCCAAAGATCAGACAAAATATGCATTGAAAGGGGTCAATCAGCGTAAACATCAGCTAAAGGGACGTTACGGTAAAAATGCGCCTATACAGATGACACTTAGGACGCGTGAAACGTCATGTGGTAGGGATTCAGAGTGTGGGGTCGCCAGAGGTAAGGTAAGGTTTTAAGGTCAGAAACAAATTACAAGCGAATTTTCCTACGGTTCACAAATTAAACACACACCAACTGCGCACTAATTAAGCTTTAAAACTTTAACCACGAATTCAGTAAGACACCTGAGCTGGAGGGCTTTTGGCCCCGGGCGGCCCTACGATGAACGCCTACCCCGCATGTTTAAAAAAATTAAACGCAGGGCGATGGAGAGAAAGACGAACGCTTCTGATCTTCCTATTTGTAACAATATGGCTAGCAAATATACGGATAACAAAAGAAAAGTTGGGGAAAAACACGTGAATTACATGCTTGCAGGCGTTAGCAGAGCAGTTGTTGTGGAGTGTAAATATAAATAAATAATGACTAATGAATTATCACGAGTAGTAT